AATAAATACAAACAAGCACACTTTCAGTAATAGAGATAGAGAGAGAGAAATCGCACGCGCACACACACACACACAGACACTCACTCCCACACACGCACATACACACACACACACACACACACACACACACACAGAGAGAGAGAGAGAGAGAGAGAGAGAGAGAGAGAGAGAGTTGAAGATTATACTCACATAATAAATACAAACAAGCACACTTTCAGTAATATCGCTGGTGTGTCATCTGAATTTTCAAACATTGAGTATTTGCGCTAAGCAATGCATGGATCTCCGAACTCGTCGCAGGGGATCTTTAGACTTTTGAAAAATATAGGTGTTGTTACGCTCCCATCAACACAATTTAGATATTTTAAGAGTCTGCCTGTCGGGGCCAATCTGGACTGAAAAAGATACAACATGCAAGCATAAAGACCGCGATACTCGATAAAAAATTCTCACCACTCAGAAATCGAACTCTGGTCTCCAGCGTGCGACAGCGATGTGCCTAACCGGTACACAGAGGCTGGCCCCATGGGTGAAATATCCGTTTCAACACTTACATTTATTTTTAAGGTGACAGTGTTCGAGACAGACGCTGCAAATTATGTCAAGATCCACACAGACACCCCATCCCCTCCATGGGGTGGTGCTCATGACTGAAATGTCTTTAGGCCATTCCCAAAGGGGGGACATTAGCATGTTCTTGTACACTGTAGAACTGTAAATGGTGTGATGGCATGCTCATAACTGTGCCTGAACTGCAATAGGGAACTGCTGCTTTTTCTTTCCTAATCCTTACTATCGTCATTTTTCCTCTACTTTTTTTGTATGTTTGTCACACTCTTGTGACCCGCTATTTCCGAGGTGCCTTGATAGTCGAAGCACACTTTGTGCTATTGAAGCTAGAGAGGTGAATAGAGTAAGCCTGATTCCCTGTAAGGACTTCTCTGTTGACATCCCCCCCCCCCTTGGTGCTCATATAACCTTATGCAGTTGCGATAACACATTTCGAAATGCTCCTTTGGAATATTATGTGTCCTTATGCACGAAGTGACGTTTAGCTGCGCGCGACTGTCGTCTGCGATCAGTCCATGTAGCGATCGAGACCTCGTCGCGAGCGACAGACTGAAGGTGTGACAGGTTTAAAGAATCACCATTGGTCAAAATGACTAGCTAAGTAGTGCCGGTCGACACACCATGTGATATTGTCGCTCAAAAGGATACTCACTTACCGACTCATCGCCAGCAATGTCGTGTCGCGCATGAGGAGACATTGGCTAAGGAGTAGCAGTAACTGAACATATTGAGCTGCCTTGTCGCATCCTTGACACAGTGTTAAAAACAAATCGTAATACAAGAACACAGCACGGCTGGTACTCACTACTGTGTGTCCGACATGCCATACATCATGGCAGTGTGCCCAAACTCGTGCGACACCACGTCAATGAGCTCAAAAGTGTTGAACGTGACTCCACACATAACGCTGTCTTCTTCAATGGCCGCCCTCTCGCCCGCCGCTGCTCCAATGTCTTCATACTTTCTCCCGTCAAACGTACAGGTTTTCTCGCAGTCACCTGGGGAGGTCAGGTTACAAGCAACCAAAACGTTACACAACATAATAATGAACATTCCTTTTAACTCTTTTAGTGTGAAGTTCCTATATATCTCTGCCTTTCTTTTCACTGAATGACCGTATTACTGTTGTGATAGATCTTGGCAAAGAATGAGTCAACACTTTATTGACTCAAAACTCACATTACAACAAGCTAAACAATACATATTACAATGACAATGACAATGACAATCTTTATTCATCTCGCAGGGACAAATTGTCTTGGTCGTTAACAATGGCAGTAGACGTTACAAAAGTTAGACTTAAAGGTGCACTCATGCAAACG